AATTGATCCTTTATTTAAGCAGTCTTTATAATTTAATGGAATAAGGAGATACGGTTAATTAAAGGCCAAATTATCAATTGTGCTTTGACAATGTTTGCATGTTGTTAAGGGTAGCCAGAGTAAACACCTGATAGGCTACAACTAGGTGAGAAACGTCACGAGAGCACACCCCCGCAACATTCAGACCCTCCTTATAATGGGACAGATAGGTAGCCAGTCAAACCTATTAGAGACGCATCGTCTATCTCGGACTGAATGAGAGTGAACCGCTTCTGAGTTCCCTAACATTTGCAACATGGCTCTTGCAGATGCGATGTTGCCTTCGATAAATATTTTTGCAAGCAACCAGATGTTAGACGAAAAGCAGTCTGAAATTGTACGGGTGAGTTCAACTTTTCATTTCAATTTAAGGTTTATTTCAAATGTAGCTTATTTTGCAGCACTCAGAGCGAATTATGAGGGTATGGTAGCCTATATGTTTTTTTATACGTTTAACTAATCACGGGAGTTACAAGTTATTGGTAAATAGCCTACAAATCGTGTTCGTATGAAGAGGAAACAGTAGAGCGTCGCTTTCATTAGAATTATTATCGTACTGTAGGCTATACATCATCAGCAAAACAAATAATGTCATTATTTAGAGCCTAACTATATATTTAGATTTCAAGAACATAGTAAGCTTTTAAACGTTTTTAATTGTCTCCCCTGCAGGTCATTATATAATTCACGCACTGCAGCCTACAAGTATATTACATCTTTATAAACAACACGTCTGTGTAGTATATTTTTTTAATCATTTGAATGACTATGGCTTTGTAATCTGAAGAAATGCTTACCCGATTTTTTTCTTCTTCAGGACTGGAAAGTTGATCCAACTAAAACTAGCTCGACAGCTGGAGACGTGAGACCCCTCATCGAGGTGGAGTTCAGCATTGTTGAATCTCCACCTTTGGCCAAAGACGAGGATGATCTTTCCAAGTTTTTGGATCTAGAGTTCATTCTGTCCAACTCCTTCACGTCTGACAATGACAACAACTCAGTGCAGCCGGCCTATTCTCTACCGGAGTCACCAGAAAGCTGCAGTACCGTGTACGACAGCGATGGATGTCACCCGACGCCGAGCGCGTATTGTGGCACCAACTTTAACGCACGCCCCGGCCACAGTCTGGTAGCCGAGTTGTTTACTCCGGACATGAATTATCATGGCGACTCGCATGAATATAGTTTGAAAGGGCACTTAGACAGGCTGGAGTACACTGAACTAAGGGCTCTGAACTCAAGAAACCAGGCACAGGTGTCCAATTCTAATAACGTGGGATACAAAATAAAAAGTGAAAACCACGAGCAATCCTGCATGATGGTAAACGACTACGTGGGTCATTATTATGGACAAGAACCCCAGCGCGTGATGCAGCAGCAGCATCAGGCTTATGGGCATCACGTGCAACAAGATGTGCCTCGGGACATTTTAGGGAGGAAAGACTGCATCCTAACAGAGGCGAACTCTCACCGTCATATTGACATTGCACATCAACAGCAGTTCATGAATAGCGCGCCTTTTCCACCTCAGTACGCCCAGCATCAACAGTATCACGGACATTACAACATGTTTAGCGAGCCACTGCGGGCAAATCACCCGGCCATGCCAGGTGTGATGTTGACTCCACCATCCTCACCCCTCCTGGGATTTTTAAACCCAGACGACAGCAAGCCAAAACGAGGGCGTCGGTCATGGGCACGAAAACGGACAGCGTCGCACAGCTGTGAATTCCCCGGATGTGGGAAAACGTACACGAAAAGCTCCCATTTGAAAGCGCACATGCGGACACACACAGGTATGTCGCGGAGTTTCGTAGGCTACATGTTGTTTTGAACTTAATTGCTCACTATAAAGCGTTTAACCAAAGTCTGTACACAATAATAAATGTTTCCCCCCGTTCTGTTGACAGGTGAGAAGCCCTACCACTGCAGTTGGGAAGGCTGTGGCTGGAAGTTCGCCAGGTCAGACGAGTTGACGCGCCACTACAGGAAACACACCGGACACAGGCCGTTTCAGTGCCACCTGTGCGAGAGAGCGTTCTCCCGCTCAGACCATCTGGCTCTGCACATGAAGAGGCACATGTGAATCATAAAAAAGACTATCTATTTTAAACCACCAGAGGATTTTATATTGTTAAGATAATTCCTATTTTGGGACAGCAGTTATATGAATAGCAGTATAATGTCATTTGATTTAAATTATGACAGTATTTAATAGAAGGAGATTCTTGTTCATTTAGAAGGTACATTATGTAGTACTTTCTCAGATGTATAAAAACGGGGCAGGACCCATACTTTTGTATAGGCTATATGTTTTCTATTCTCCATTTATGCATTTGTATTAAGTCAGGGAGTATTTTTTTTTCATGGATTTTCAGAAGAATTAAAAGCATTGTCTTTTTTTTTTGTACTCATTCTCTTGTCTCATTTTGTTTCAAGTTTCTTATTTTAAATATTGCGAGTTGCCACCCTGAAAGGTATTCAAAACTAAGATCTACGCAAAGAACATACAGCACAAATAATTTGTACTCCATAAAATACTGAGCAAAATAAGTAAAGCTTCATACAAATTGATAATAGAAACGTTCAATCAAAAGGTCTACACTCTTCTTCATATATTTATATATATATTTGGCCATTTAAAAATACTGTCTACACTGTACCTAAGCCAATACTTATATACTGTTACTACCAAAACTCTAAAATCAAGTAATTAACTTATGTAACATCACCATCATTGTCAACAATTATATTCATCACAAATATTGTGAAAATAACTTGAGCTGTTCAGAACTCAGACAGTATTCATTCCCTTATGCATCATGTTACTGCTACTTGAAAAGCTATAGTATGTCGCCCTCTCCAGTCTGAAAATAGGTCACAGAAGTTTAGTCACAGAATCTCACAGGTGGTCAAACCAATGGAACAGTGGTTCTTAATCATGGCCCTCCCACAAAAGCCAGAATTTCAGCAATACCTAAAAAGTATTCCTAATTAAACACGAAGGCTGTTAAATTTATTAATGTGATGTAATCATTTTTTAATTAATTCTTTATTTTTTTTATTTAATTTATAAAAAAAAAACGTGTCATTGCCTTCTTCATTAAAACAGCCTTTATATACTATCTGGCTATTGTAAAAAAAAAGCTTAGTGCAGTCTCCCTCTGCTGGCAGGAAGTCACGCTACAACAAAACACCTTGCTTTTACATATCTCGAATAGAAAAATAATTACTTTCCATATTCAAGTACATATTTAAATACAATGTCAAAAGTGGCTTTCATCACTATTTACGTTTGTTAAAAATATTAAGAAATTAAAAAAAAAATTGAGCCGGGGAAGTTTTTGAAATTTGGTAGATTTGACAAGATATTAGTCATTTTGTAAAGTTTATCTGAAGGTATCGATTTCTTCCACGAGATGGCAGTCTTTCCTATGGTTTGTGTCTGATGTTACACCTGCTGATGCAATGCCACGCATAGTTGAGCACACACTAAATTAACAAAGATAAGTGTGCAGAGGTGCTGGTGAGCAAGATAAAACTGTAAATGTAAAAGCACTAAAATCATATTCATCTAACTTTGGGCTATAGTAAGAATTAATATCTATGTTTTTAAAATTAATTATACTGCTCACAATTTTCACTGTCCTATAACTATTAAAATGTTAAGGTTACTGAACTATCTAATGACTACTGAATGATCTAAATAATGATGCAGACAGAATGTGCTGACTTTTGACAATGCAGACTTCTTTGTGAGATTTGGTCTCACAACATTCACCCCTTTTTCCTTTGAAGCTAATAACCAGATTCCTTTTCCATAAAGAGATTTTATGACTGACACTAGTGGGGGACCCATGACTATTCTATATGTTTGTGCAAGCCAAGGTTACAGGCTATCATGCACACACTGATCTTATATGCCTGATATTAAGAGAATTTAGCTTAAGGCTTATTTAAGTCATAACTACTGAATTAAACGCAGAACCATTTAGACTACTCTTCATTCTGCCTCTTGAGATAAACAATTTAATATCGTTGTGTATTCAGGCCATTTTCTCATTAGAGTGGGAAAAACTTAAGAGGGACCAATGGCACACCTAAACGTTACATGCTAGAGCTGGAGCATATCACTCAGTATAATCTAGTCATTTGAATTGCTAGCGTTTGTTAAACCCACCGCTACGCTGAGCAACGGTGCGTGAATGGGGAAGCGTGTATATCCTCCTTATACCATCTTTCAGCATCATTTAGAGAATAAAAGGTGTGTGTCGCCGTATGTCCTCATTTCACCCATTATATTCATTCCACGCTCACATACTGTGTTGGCTACGCAATGGGTTGCTACGCGACAGGGCATTATGTTTACGATTTTGGCAGCACACCTCGCCCTCCTTTTTACATGTGTCATATTTGAAAGGATTCAGAAACCAAAAATAGCTGATTTAGGAAGTAATAGGCTAATAAAACGCCAGGAGTTTTATTTGCAATCCGTTACTCAATATAATCGCATGTCTTTGTCTACCGGAAACATCCATCCATCAACCGCAGCAACACACGTGCTCAGTACTACCGGTAATTTTTAAGTTTTCAATTTTTTTCAATTTTTTAGTTAGTTACGACATCTTATTCTCAGTCAGATCCTCTGATAAGGTGATCTGGCCGGCGTCTTCATCATTACCGAGCTTGATTGAATTTATTTTTATTCAGCTTATACGTTGGTCAGAATTATTTAGCCTAATGTTTGTGTCTGCTCATTTATGGTTTGTTTTCAGATGAGAACCAGTACGTTGAGCCAGAGCACTGCTTTGTAATTACATTATCCAGAAGTCACTTATGAAAAGCCTTGAAACTATCTTAAAACTATATTCACAGGGGGTGGGGAGGGGGGTGTCTTTGGTTAAGAGGTGGGGCCACATCTGAACAGCGTGTACTTTGAATATTGGAAGTTTAACAAAGAAATGTCCATCAATTTAACGAGGTCGTGTTCAAAACAGATCCACTTGACAGCTGTCTTCTGTATAACGCCAAGGAGCAAGCGATGGTAAGAGCAAATGATACTAGGCTATTACACGAGGTGTAGCCTACAGCCGAATGATTCTTCCGTATGTTCTTTCATACCACTAGGAAGAGATGCATAGCTTTAAAAGACTAACAGATAATCAGTTGTTTGAAATGTAGCTGTTTAATAGAAACGTTTAACTTTGGCTTATTATTCGTTTCGGGTCAGAATAGCATTAGGCTAGTAACAGGGCGGGTGAAGTGTCAGCAGTGATGCTGGTTATACATTTTGCAACCTACAAGCTGTACAATAATAGCTGTTTATTGGGTTTATCATTTGATAACATACGTATGAAGAACCTGTTGAATTGTCCACGACGCGGTTAAAATTGTTCCAGTGGTTTAAAGGTGTTTCCCCCCCTCTTGCTTATATTTTCAATCTCAGTATTACATGCCAGATTACCGGATTTGCGACACGTTTAAATAGTTTTGATTGTCATGATTTACAGTGAATAGTCAGCTAGTACTCGTAGGCTATTACTACTTAAGGCTCAGACACTCATTGTTTAAGTGATGAACCTATAAATGGTCTTATCAAATGACAAACATTAGATTAATCTCAGGAAATTACAGTAACCTGACTGTGATCCTTTTTTGTGTACGAACACAAGAATCAATGCCTTATACATTGTCACAGAAAGTTGTTACAACTTTTGGTTTTCCAGTTTCATATAACATTTACATTTATTCAAAGTGACTTACAAATGAGAAACACTAGAAGCCTAACCTTATGTAAGGTGGTTTTGATGTCATATGTCTAGAGCATCTCTCTTAGTTTGAGTTTAATACTTAGTACAGTATGATGCAGATATTTAGTTTTATTATTTTAACTGTTTTCTTTTTATTGTTAATTTATAATCTTTTCATATTCTGGGTAGATGTTGGTATTTTTAAGGTACAGAATGGAGATTTCTGGAAAGATTTGCTATTTCAGGCACTTATACAGTATAATACTTCAAGATCTGGTATGTATTACAAGAAACCATATTCTTCTCATTGTTTTGAATATAGTGGTGATAGAAGAATCTAACCATTTGGCCAGTCTTTTATTAACAAGATGTATATTGTACTTTTGTTAATGCATGAATCTGCTGCTTGCATTGATGGTACAATCAGTTGCTTCATTCTGCCATTAGGGTCTAAGGGTCCACATGCGGACCAAATCTGTTCACAAACATGTCAAGATCATTTATGATAACGCAGAGCAGCTCAACGGCGTGTCAAACCATGCTATAAGTGACCATGCTGTCAAAGCACTACCTCTGTACCATACATGGTGTGGTTTAGCTCCAATACATAAAAAAGTGTCCTGTGTTGACATTCCGTGTCACGTGCTAGAGAAGTGCCAGAGTGTGGTACTTTAATGGACTTTTAGTTTATTTGCTTTTTTAGTTGTTTAAACTTTTGCTATGGCCATATTTCAGAATGGATTTATTATTATTATTATTATTTACATTTGCAATGTACAATATAGAGGTTAAAAGTCTGTGAGAAAACAAAAGTATTTTTTATTTGTATTTTTTCTCCCAAGGATCTATCATTAAATGTTATGGCCAGAAGGCTTCAATAGCCCTGTACATCTACTCAGTACATGCACAGTTGTTATAACAGTGTGTAGTATTGAATGCTGCATTTGTGAGGAAATTTGGTAAATTCTCTTCAGATTACTTTTCCTAAGCCTTTTGAAAATGAGCACAGCTCATATAAATGTTTATGTAGTCTGGGAAGGTAGTTTTATTTTTCACAATTAGTGCACCCATGCATGGCCACCTTCATCAGACCGAAAATCAAAACTTTGAAATTCCTGGCCAGATAGACTGTACACCATTTGTCCACAATGTAAAGTAAAAGGGATTAAATGGCTGTATGAAGAATATTTCTGTGCTGGCTGAGTGGAAATTGGGAATGTTTTTGTTGTTTTTTTCTGTAGGATGTGCTGTCATGCTTGAACTTCCTAAAGTTAAGAAAAAATAATTTTTCCATGTAACCCAGATATTGTTTTTCGAAAATAGTGTGGACAAGACCTGATAAGTTCCTGAAAATTTGATCATGTCCATTTTAAGTAGTTATAACAAACTGCTTTAACTGAAGCAATGAAACTGGACAAACTGCAGAGATGTAGGGTTAGAAACAAATGGTCAGATTGTTAATAAGTTTAATGGGAATGAGAAGTTTTGACAGTTTCTCCTCAGTTGAACACCAATAATCAGTAAACGCAGCAATGTAGTAATTTTACCCATAGCTTTTTTTCTATCCGTTTTGTTGCTTATGTTCACTTATACCATATTTTTAAGATGTACAAAATTTGCAGGGCCAAGTATGTCTGATTGATGGATTTAACCAGTTGAACATTTGCCAGAAAATTGCGCAAAGTTTATCTTAATGAATTTAGATAAGAGAGTAACTTGTGTGCTTTCACTTCTTTGTAGATAACACTTGCAGATAGAATCCGTTTCATGGATGAGCAACAGAAAGAGAAAATATCTAAAATAACAACTGAAAACCAAAGACAGAACAGAAGTGCCCTTTCTCTTTGGTGGTTTTAGGAACTGGTTATATCATTTAGACAAAATCCCCCTCACTGTTAATCATCTACTTTATTGCTATCAATGTTTTGTAGTAAGTTTCGGCAATGTCACTTAATGATAAGATATGCTACTTTTAAAGTGTCTGTCAGTTACTGGATGAATCATAGAAAACTGCTGTAGAATACTTTAACAGAGCACACATCCTAATCCTTATTAGTAAAATCTTGCAATGGTTTATTGAAGAATAATTTATTGGTTCGTTGAGTCTCAATTTCATACACTATTCAGCATTTCTACTAATACATACGAGGTCACCGCCAATGTTATGGGAGGCACTGCAGTGTTTTGGAGCTCTGTGTTATCTCTGTTGGGTGGAGTTGAGGAGGTGCAGTACATTGTATTATGCTACTACAGATGCTCAGTTGCAATCAAGCCGTTCCAGACCAAAAGGAGAAACTTAAGCATAAACCTTTAAATAGCTTTAACCATTCTAGTGAAGGATGTTTTGCTTTTGCTGGGGAATTTGGAAATGTTTCTTTTGCCTCTGGTGTCAGATGACATTCACTGTTAAATACAAACAATAATGGGACAGTTTTTTTTATTATTCAAATTTATGACTGCAATGATGGTGGCAGTCTTTTATTTTCAGTATTAACTTCAACTTCAAATAATTTAAATTGCTTTTTTTTGAGAGATGTCATGCACTGTGCATCAAACCACACCAAGATGCATTGTATACCTATATATAATGGGTTTTTAGACTTGTGTTCTCATTGGCTGGTCAGTCCAAGCAAGGTAAGACACCTGCATGGTTAGCCAGGGGTTGTGTATGTCATTGAAACTGAGTGCCAGTTTAAGCCTTCTTTTCCACCCGTCACAGATAATGAGAGCCACCCTATGACCTGCCACAGCTTTGGATTGTAGTCACTTCATCAGCCACTTTAAAGCAGTGTCTGCAAGGTGACTTCTCAACTTCTACCGCCACATCCAACTGGGTTTCTTGAACATTGCATTGTCTTCTGATGCCATTTATATTAGGGGCATTCCAAAGGGTTAAACACTCATTAACTTTGCACAGCATTAACAATTGCAGGCTCAAGATACTTTTCCAGGAGTCAAGCCTTGAAATGCTTAAAGTCAGCATGAAACGGAAGTAGCAATTGTCTTTTTTTCTCTACTGTAACGTCTATCTGAGTGAAACGGCATCTGAAATGAGAGGGCAGGACTTGATTTCGTCCTTCGGGAATTGATTGGATCATTGGAAGTTGGGGCGTTGCTAGCAAAATGGAGGTATATCTAAATGCCAGTTTGCAGTTAGTTGTGGGGGGATTTCTCTCCACTGGATTAACTGCCGACACCCTAGCATGAAGAATTTTTTTATTTATTGATGAAGACGAGGACGATCAATGGCACAAAACATGCCTAAATAGCTTTTTCCAATATGGCTTTTATTTTTTTTATAATTTTTTAAATAGTTAAATGTAATAATAATTTTTTAGGTAATTGTTTCAGAAAATAAACATTTAGAATAAAAATAATTGGTAATAATTATTATTTTTACAGTTTTTGCTGCCCGACCTTCCTGGAGACTTTCATTTGTAAAGAGCTAATTGGTTACAGTTATATTTTTCCATAGATAGCCCACAGCTCATTCAGTAAAGTGCACATGTTTTGTGTGATGCAATAGACAACTAAATACTGATAAAGGGAGCCATCGGTTCAGAGAGTTTGCTCTGCTTATCTCATGTCTTATCTTGCTGCTTTTTGTAAATAAAAACATATTTTTGTGAAAAAGGTTGAGGGGCTGAGGGATAGTACACTTGTCTCTTAACCTACTTTTGCCCATGCTTTATCTTTTCCCTTTTTTTTCTTGTTTGTTAAATTATTATTCTATTTGGGTACCTTGTTTGTTTAATGTTCCTAGGTTCTTGTTCCCATTAACAAAACCATAGCAGTAATTTTCCACTGAAATATTGGTGCATGTTCACTTGCCATATGAGTGAAAGTTCACTCGTCCAGGCTGAGGTGTTAATTTCAAATGGTTGGTCTGGAGAAGCGTTCACTTTAATTCTGGAGGAGTGATGTACTGTGTTGCCTGGTGTCAGGATGAGTGGTTCACAACAACATTAGAGTGATTTAAGAGGCTCCAGTTGCTGAACTGTTACTTGAGTCTTGGTCTTGCCTTAAACTGACAATATCTGGTATAGTGAAGAAGTACAAGAAACTTTGGATTTCTGCATTACAAGATTTACATTTTAGATTTAGAATCTAAAAATGTCCATGTGCTGGATTTTGAATATTGTTGTAGTAAACCAGAAGGATTGAATGTGGGAAGTTTTCACAGTTAGACACTGTGAAAACTTCCCACATTCAATCCTTCTGTTTTACTACAACAATCCAGAAGGTGGACTATAACAGTTTGTAAGCTGATGTAGGCTATAGGTTAATTTGGTAAACCATTGTTGTTTTCTAGAAGCTTATGTTCTGTACCCATCTGTCCTGTAACCCTTTGTTTTAGTTATTTGCTGAAAATACTAAGTCTTCTCATCTTAGTTAACAATTTAAGCATCCTCTACATCACTTCTCGGAATAATCGTAATATCAGACTTTAAAGTCCAACATAAACTCCAGCCACACTCCCAGCCAGCACATGGGCAGTGTAATCAGCAGTTATGAAATGATTGTTTTAAAGAGAGAGCAACATGTTTGGGGGCTAATAGCTGCTTTTCCCCCTCTTCCTCCCTCCTTCTCCCTGTCACATGTTCCTTTCACATCATAGAAAAGTTCCTGGATTAACGCAGAATTAGCACAAAGCAGAGACGCCACCTCAGCCCAACGTTGCAACTAGCGGAGAGAGGAAACGATTGAGGGAGAAGCAGTGTGCACCAGAAACTAAGACACATACCCCAGCAGCTCAAGACGAGTTCCAGAGAGCACAGAGACAGGCCAGGACGGGCATCCTTCCGGAAAGGGGACCCACGCCGAAGAGAGCTTCAAAAGCATGGCGGAAAAACAATTTTCTGGCATATTGGTGAGTCACTCAGACTTGCATTTTGTAACTTTTATAGAAATGTTACCTTTTTCTCCATGCCCAGTTTTTCACAGCTATAATTTTAGATTTGATATTTTTGAAAGTTATTTTAGTCTTGTATTATGTGTATTTCTTAGTAACATGATCTGGCAATTTTTATTGTCTGATTAAAAGTTAGTAATCAAGCAGGTCAAAGCATTTTGGATCAGGCCACAGTTCTAAAAAACTTTTTTTAGTTTTTTGAATTGTTTCAAAGAGCTGAACTAAAAGAAATGATTAGACCTTAAACCTAATTACAGGGGTTTTCCCCTACTTACAGCTTTTATAATAAAGACTCTCGGGAGTAGTGTGAAATGCCCTGACAGCTCATATATATCTTTAACTAATGATTAGGAGAATATAAATAAATTAGATGAATTTTAGATGAATTTAACAGAGGATGTGGTATAATTTAGGGAAGAAAATTCATTTTATTCATTTTAAGAAAGTTCATTTTATGAACCCTCGCGGCTATTTTGTGTTGTAAGAAATGTCTTAGAATTCACTGCTTCGTTAATGGATTTAAATAAATTAAGACATTTTTCCAAATGATTGTGAAAGCAATTTAAACCTGGAATTTAAAACTGTACATGTCTTCTTGAGTTTCCAAACCCTGATGACTTTATTAACCATTGCTGTGCTGAGAGTACACACATCTGGCAGTATGAACTGATCTAAAGTGTTTGATGCGAGACCACAATGCAAGAGTGACAGTCAAGGATGTATGACATCTTCTAAATAGATGTCAACGTGGCATAATACTTAAAGTTTTTCAAAAGAAAGAATAAAATAAATTCAATTTCAGTCAAATAAAATTTTTTGATGTGATTATAGCTACATTTGCAACATTGGTTTTTACTTTAAGATATATTATTGTTATTTTTAGTGTTTCTAATTGCAAATTTTCTGAAGGGTGACATGTTTGTCTGAAGTGTGGAGTTGCTGCGTGGCTGGGCTTTTGTTCGGGGTGAGTGATGCTGTAGTCTCTTGTGTGACTGTAACTGGGTAGTGTGTTTCTGGTTCTGAGCTGTGCTGTGCTGCCTGTAACTACATAAATAGTATTTCTCCATTTAAACCAGTCTTGTTTTTTAATTTTTAAAAGCTGTGTCACTTGATTGCATAAAATGATACTTATGACAGAACGTTCTGGTACTATTTTAAATTTAATTATAATATCAAAAATAAGGATTACAATATTCCACAATTGGACTATTTACAACATAATCCCTCCTAAATTCTGTCCCAAATGCCTTTCAGAATCATGGTTAAATAGAATGGATATGGAAGTCCATATGAGGAATATGTAGTAAATAGGTCGTAAAGCTAAGGAAAACTGTTGCAGGGGTCCTATATTAAATAAACCTTTGTGGTCCATCCCCACCTTTATCCTCCCCTCGTGTGATTGGTTACAGTGGTTGTAATATTATGGCTCCTGTCCTTTGTATCTCTGTGTTCTTCTAACTGTATTGTCTTGTACTTTTAGCCTTGTACTGTGTCCTGTACATTTTGTACGTCTAAACATGTGTATTTATTTTTGTGAATGAGCATCTTGCAGATGGAATACATTTGATGTTTAAATCACATTTATGGTAAAATTGCCATTTTTTTTCACATTAAGTTAATCTTAAAAATCTTAATTGAATTGAACTGAATTTTTCATCATTTTTTTTCTTTCAAGTTTGCAGATTTTTATGTTGTATACAATGCCGTCCAAATGCCAGATTGCTTTGCCCCCCCATAGAGAGTTGCATTAACATTCTGCCTTTTAGACTTTTTCAGCCCCTTACCCGTTTTTTTTTTTTTTGGTGAGATGTGCTTTCGGAGGTCAGTGGCATCAGTGTGTTGTTGGCAATGTTGTGGGGAGTACAGAGGTTTGGTTTGCTCTCAGGAAGGGAAAGAAGATTTTGACCGGCACATTTGTTTACTCATCACTCTAAATTACTTTTACAGATTGCACCTCATTGGACACAAATAGTTTTGCTTAATGTACAATATCTGATCAAGTGGAAGTACCCTGATAGATGGTTTTTGTGTACTGTCAAAAGGCATGAAGCTTGCTTTAGTGCTTTGAATGGCATTAAGTCCTCTTTGTCTCTGACAGAAGCTGTTCTGCTTTAAGAATATCCTGACGTTTTGACAATAAGATGATGACAGCGTAAAGCCCATTGTTACCCTCTGACAGTGACAGTAGAGAATGTTAGCGCTGTGGTAACCCAAAACATAATTAGAGATGAGTAGAATGACATAAGAGGAATTAATGCTGGAGCTGTCAGACATTCAGAAGCAGTTGCGGAGGAACTGTTGAAGGAGCTGTGATGACCGTTTGCTGTACTCGCTGCTTCTTCTGTCCCGCTGGCAGCTCTCCATCCTTTCCCAAGGGTTGTTAATGTGTGCTGCTCCAGAGGCCTGTTCTGCCTTTCTGAGGTGTTAGGTGCATTTCGGGGGAAGGGTCCATAGACCCTCGTAATTGGCCATTTAGTTAGGTGATGGGGAGTTCGATATTATTTGTTAAATATAACAAAAAGTTGTGTGTCTGATTGGTCCAAATGCTACACTGTGAATTTGAAATGAAACGGAAACAAATTTTGGATCCCGTTGTCCCTCAGGATGCTAGGCTACTGCTGCACGTTTTCACTCTGCTTTGTGGGCTCTCAAACATTTTGGTCAATTAATTAGCATTAAACAAAATAAACAACAGTAAATTACATAGATACATTTTCTTTCTGTTATTCAGAATGTCTAAGGACCCTAGTGAGCTGTTTCACTGTCACATGACATTCTAAATCAGCTAAAATGGAACCTCAAACTTATATTTAAAATTGAAAAAAGTGACTGGTTTGAAATACTTCACATAAGCAGCAGCTGGTTAATGGTGACTAATGTGCACCTCATAAGTAGCGTTCCTCACGTGAAGTGCAAGAGAGACAGTTGATTCCTATAGAGTTCTGTGTTCTAATACGTTGCTATTCTGCTAAGCTTATGGTGCATTAGTTTTAATGAGCACAAAAATACATAGCAAATGCATGTATATTGGGTGAAATGGTACATTTTTAATTAGACAACTATTTTGTCTGTACATTTCAGTATTTAACATGATTATTGTAATTATTTTCAATCCATATATAATATTTTCCTTAAACTTGAAGCAGTGCATTTTGGGATTGCCCTTTCTGTGAAGGATAACCTTCTTTGGAATAGCACACTACCATGCTACTCTTGCTATTTCTGCAATATACATTAGACATAAATATTAAGACTGTTTCCAACACTGCATTAGATTTTAGCCAGAACATGGTGGCAGCTATAAATAATAAAATTTAAAGGGATTATGCACTCAAAAATGAAAATTGTCATCATTTACTCATGTTGTTCCAAACCTGTATGACTTTTTCTTTTGAAGAACATCTGGAACCCAACAACATTGGAGCACATTGACCACCATTGTATGAAAAAATGTAATAAAATACTGAGACTTTACTCAAAATGTCTTCAGTTTCAAAGAAGAGACAGAGTGATACAGTTTAGGAACAACCTAAGAGTAGTGAAATTGTACTTTTTTAGTGAACTGTCCCTTTAACACACCTATGCCTAACTTACTAGCATTTGGTAGAGCCTATATTTTAGTGAATCTCTTTATGAGATGTCACATAATTTTTTATGAAATGTGCATTTTTTTTATTATTCTTTCGTTAATAATCCAAAGTCTCATTAATAGGTGATGGCCATCAAGTTCAAGGCCGTGTCTAGGTCAGCAGCACTTATGTAAGGAACATATTGAACTGTCACTCACTTACATTAACTACAGCATACACATCTTTGTAGCTGTGCAACCGTAGTGCCTTCAGGGGCTTGGGAACAGATGTGATTGAGCAAAGGGGAAGTCAAACATGATTTCTGTCTATGTTTGAGGCGCAGACTGTACTGTCTGTGGAGCGTACCGAGCCCACAGAGAAGGCAGCCACCGTGGAGTATGCACAATTGGAGGACAAGGGCCACCAAATGCTAAACACGTCCACTGCTGCGATTCCTTTAAAAAACACTCCCCTCCGCTAAAAGGGCCCATTGAGCCTCAGCCTTTAGATTTCATTTGAAGTAACCACTCAGGCTGAAAATTTCGTTTTTCTGTTTCTTCCTCTCGCCTTTATATATGAGGTACCCCTATTCTACCCAGGCTAAACACAAATACTGACCAAGAAAGAGCCACTTTTTCTCCTCGCTAGCTGAAATTATGGACCGCAGTTTAGCATTGTGTTCCACCCACCTGGCTTCCTAAATCTTCTTTTATTAATATTATTTTTAACGGTTGAATTGGAGTCCCTCAAAGCCTTTTCAGCCCATATTTAGGTAATTTGTTGCGCTTGAACCCGACCTGCTCCCCCCATGGCGTTGTGAATGGGAGAAAAAGGCTTGGGATGAGGGGGGGTCTGCTGTTCTCAGGGTTTCTCCACAGAAACAGCCCCTTGACCTATTATATCATTTTGAAGGTCTCCATGTTGAAAGATCACAGCAACACAACCCTTGCTTTTGTGTTGACCAGTTCGTGCATTAAATTAAGTGCCAGGAAATCCATAATAAATTCAGAGAAAACACAATTTCAGACGCACAGAATTTGACACAGGAATCAGAGTGTTGTAGTAGTCCAAGCTTGTGTGTTTTTTGACTTGCTAACGTGACCTAGGTAGTTATAAATTGTCATACCAATCTCTTTTTGTGCTGTTTGAAATAGCAAATAATGAAAATTAGTACATATGCAACGTTCTGTAACGTGACCTCTGTGTGCGAGTAAATGGACCTCACTGCGTGCCTCTTATGTACTCCTGATAGAAAGCCTCACTCGAATGTCAGAGAGCCTCCTCTGGTGCTTTTTATACTAGTTTCTTTTTGCTAAGAAAAAGGGCCTCCACCCCACAGACATCGTGTAAACTCAGACTTTCAACTGTTTGTCAAAACATAGATGGCCC